CCCCCTCTGTCCCTACTGTCCTTCAGTGTTGTCAGGTCAAGCTCTCTTAGTCTCTCCTCGTAGGACATGCCCCTTAGCTCTGGGTCTAGTCTTGCTGCAAACCTTTGCACTTTCTCTAGTTTCCTGATGTGCTTAGCCAGGTGAAGGTTCCAAACTGGATCTGCATACCCCAATATAGGACTGAAGTACATGGTATTCAGGTTCCCTAGTGACTCCTTACTGAGGTGTCTGAATGCTATTCTTAGGTTTGCTTGTCACCCATATGTGTCAGCAGTGTTACTATGTACTTGTGTAATACATAGTAAGAGTCCCTTCTAGCTGTGACATCACGAGACCCTCGCATGTGAGCCGTAGGCCACAGCATTCATCCTCATTCCCACGCTGGGATAGTAGACTCGACAGATAAGCCTGGGCTCCCCTCAAGACTCTCTTAATTATATGCCTCCAAGACATCCAACTTGTGTATTTCTTACTCCAAATATCTTCTGACGAACCCCCAGGACATATGCTGCAGCAGTTATTGGGTTGATGTGAGCCTCAGGAGATGTGTTTGGTATTATACACGCTCCAAGATCCTGTTCCTTGTGTGAGGTTTGTGGTCTTTGGCCCCCTAGACCGTACTCTCTCTGCAGTTTTCTTTGCCCTTCCCCGATCTTCATGACTTTGCACTTGGTGGGGTTGGACTCCAGAAGCCAGTTGCTGGACCAGGCCTGCAGCCTGTCCAGATCCCTCTGTAGTCCTGCCTTATCCTCCTCCGAATGAATTCTCCTCTTTAACTTCCCATTGTCTGTAAACAAGAACACTTCTGAGTCCTATTCCTTCTATCATATCATTCACATATACCAGGAACAGCACCGGTCCTAGGACTGACCCTTGTGGAACCAAGCTCATCACAGACGCCCACTCTGACATCTCATCATGTACCATGACTCGCTGGTGCCTTCCCATCAGATATTCTCTGATCAATTGCAGTGCCTTCCCTGTTATACCTGCCTAACCCTCCAGCTTTTACACTAGTCTCTTGTGTGGAACTGTGTCAAAAGCCTTCTTACAGTCCGAGAAAATGCAATCCACACAGAGCAATGCTGGGTGTATCAGCAAGTGAGTCATGTGTCTGATACATAAGTGGGAGAGTGTAGTCTCCTATTAGACTGCATAGGACCATTGCATCCACTGCAGACAAGCTCATATATAATATTTATTCATCCTAGCATAAAAAACAAACAAGTAAGTACCATTCCATTGGTAATATTATCCCATGAAAACATATTACCTCTTATCATCTACAGAGTTTTCTTTCAAACTAAAAAATCTCTCATCCATTGTCATACTTTGCTTTTTATCACTTCTATATGATTTATAGTTTCAAGATTAGTCCTTCAAGAGGAACTTTACAAAGAGCTTTCTTGAAATCTAATGAAACTAGATGTAACCTTCCCATCTATTTTTTCTATAGCTAATTAATATCTGTGTGAGATACATCAGTACATAACAGTGTAAACATTACAGGAGGAAGGAAAGTATAATACAGCAAGGAAACTTCTTTTATTTCAGAGGCTATAGTTCATATATTTTACTGTGCATATACTGTACTCATATCTAGTAATATAATTACTGTACATATTTGTCCCGTGCATGTGCAAAGTGAAATACATTATTGATCCAAACTGTTAATAAATACCTGTACGTATATCTCTGCCAATAAAAAACAATCAGAAATTACATAAAAATCTCAATAAGGCAATATTCTTAAACAAAATACAGAATAATCACTGACAGTAAGTTATTACTGTTAGTGATTATTCTTGAATTTCTTCTCCCACATTTGCTTTGTAATAAGTCTTGATATGAAATTTCTTCCTATTTCAATGCAAATGACAAGTGTATAAGCTAATCCAATATAGGTACATATCTACATCACTTACATATAGGCACAGTGCTATTATCAGATAAAGGAACATTGTCTTTTCGATTGTAGTTTAATCTTGTTTGTACAATATTAACTACCAACACAGTAAGTGCCATAAATATGAACACACAAACAGATCATACAGAAAATGAGACCTCTCATCATAATCTTTTGTTTTAGAAATAAAATACTGAAATATGAACATAAGAATGGAGGAACAATGCAGCAGACCAATTGGCCCATACAAGGCAGGTTCTTCTAAAACCACCCATTCCTCACAAACTAGTATTTTGTAGGATTACCCATCCTACAAATACACTCCTTATGTCTCCTAGGCACTGATAAGGCCAACTTATGGAGGCTAGAAGAATCAATACCCTCCTACACCTGCTTGCTTTCATTCAAGATTTTAGGGTTAGAGGGTGCGTCCATGCCATGAAGCTTACATTTAATAATGTTAAGTCCTTTGAGATTTCAGGCCATTCATATGACCATGGTAAATCACAATCAATAGTCAATTCTTTATGTCTTTGGAGTATGGTAAGGAGTACCATATTCCATACAAAAGCTGCCCTGGCACTTCACAAAACTGTTAGGCAAATAGCCTGATAAAAGCTTGCTTACTTACAATACAGTACATGTGTGTGTGTGTGTGTGTGTGTGTGTGTGTGTGTGTGTGTGTGTGAGAATAAGTATATATGCATGTATGTATGTATATATGAATGTGTACATGTATAAAAAAGAGTGACAGTGAAAGTGATTTCTTCTTTGCTGGATCACCTTACCTTAGAAGAAGTCTAGAGCAGTAAAATAAAAATATGTTGTGGTATAGCGAGTTACATTCATATTTTATAAGGTATGCACTGTATGTATTAAGTGACCTATACCTGTTGAGCAGCGATGATAAAAACATGACCCTTGTATATGTCAACCTTAGTGCTTTAAGTGCATCTCAGTTTTCTCTTGCATCACTAAAATTGCCAATGTTTATTATAATTATTATTACTGGTAATATTATTATTATAGTCATCAAAGAATTAAATCTATATAGATCGTATAGTAGTATCACTGGGTGGCTATGTGATCAAAACTTCTCCCTTTACACATACTACTCGATAAGTAGGAAATGTACAAGATTACAGCAGAGACGATGGTACAGGAGGGCCCTGTTTTACAGTGCTTCACTTTACAGTGTTTCACTAATACAGCCATTTTCAATTATACCCATCCTTCATTTATTCAGGCTACCTTTACTAAATATATTCACCACTCGCTAACCTAACCTGCTGTACAAGTTGAGCTCTCCTGTACCACATCCATATCTGATGTCTGTTCTAACAAATTTGGCTAAAACAATTTTTTCACTGTAGCATCACAGTTGAAAAAATAATTACACTAGTAAAAAAAATATACAGTGCTCATCTTTAACCCTTAAATGGTCCAAACGTATATATACGTTTTTTCAACATCTGAAAGTATGTAAAAAAATGTAATCTTTTTTTTGTTTTACATGTGAAAACATGTAAAAAAACTTTTATCTACATTTTTTTGTTATATTTTGAAATATGTAAAAAAAAGTAGGATCTTCTTTGTAATGCACATGATTTTACGTCATCTTTTGACCGTTTAAAACGTTAAGTGTGAGGTAAAACACACCCAGTATTACTTTAATGCCCAAAGTAATACATTAACCCTAGTAGGGTTGAAGGTTTTTGGTAAAAAAGGCGAGAGAAAAAGTTATGCTAGCCGGTGACAATATGTAGCTGTCTACTCAGATTTCCAAGGCTATCTGCTGGATCCGTAGAGGCCTTCCAGGCTTGTGGTGGAATTGCCTTTATGTAATGTGCCTCCTTGCAAGTGAGAGCTAATTTGTTGGATTTTGGCTAGTGACAAATAATATATGGCAGGAAATTTAGTAGCCTGACAAAGTAGCATTGCATACCACAGGATTACATAAGGCAGGCCATCAACATGATATGTGCCTTCAATGGAGCATTCTGTGAGGACTTATACTGTAGGAAGCTCCTTGAGTTCAAGTATTTGATGACATGCCTAACAATCTAAATATGTTCTAGGGAAGCCTAGAACAAACAAACATCCCATCACATATACACAATGTCACTTAGAATTAGCTCTGAGTAGTATTATTTGCCTTCATCTGTGAAAAAACACCCCCTACATGAAAGTCTATTGTTCGGTGGCTTCATGACAGTAATGTACCCTTCAATGACTTGCCAAGAAATTCCTCAGACTTGATCCCTCTGTGAGAACCTGTATGCTGTGATAAAAAGGGATCTACTAGGGAAAGGATTATTAGACTATTCCCATGGCTGGAGGATACCATCTGCAAGTTATAGAGAAATTTACCCCATGAAACCCTGAGGAATGTGTGTTAATCACTTTTAGATGTGTGTTAATCAATTTTTAGATGGTTGAAAGATGTCCTAAAGCACAAGGGATGACCTATTTTATGGTTGTGGTTTTTGAGGTGGCCAGAATACTTTAATGATGAGCACTGTAGAAATATTTTGACTATCTGTTCCTTCTTTAGGTAAAAATACTTAAGAAATACTAAGTACAGTACCAAAGATACCCAGTAAAAGAAATGCTGCCAAAACAGAAGAATCACAGGCATAAGTTGTACCTCTGCCTTTGCATGAATACTGATCAAATAAATTTAAAGCAGGTGTCATAGTAAATATATATATATTTTTTTTTTATTATCACACTGGCCGATTCCCACCAAGGCAGGGTGGCCCGAAAAAGAAAAACTTTCACCATCATTCACTCCATCACTGTCTTGCCAGAAGGGTGCTTTACACTACAGTTTTTAAACTGCAACATTAACAACATTAACAGTTATGGTAGGTAGGTACATACATGCACAAATAGATAACTACATGAATCACTCAAAAGAGCTTAGTTGTTAAAAGTAATGAGTACATATATACACCATTGTGCCCATAAAATCATAAAATAATAACTAATAATTGGCTCCATAAGTGAATGAAATTTAAATAATTTTTTTTTTTTTTTTTTTTTTTTTTTTTTTTTTTTCAACAAGTCGGCCGGAAATTTATTCCAAATGAACTGCAAATTATACCTTGCAATAAAAAATACTGAATCATATTCTACATGTTAATCATTATTACACAAAACAAGAGAGCTCATGTACAAAATATATGAACATTTTCTTTTTCTAGTGACAAATTAGGCCCACATGTTTAGTCTGAATTCTCCCTATAGTTTACCAGCCTTCATTATGTATGTAACTATGACACTCATTCACTCACTAGTTCCATACTAATCCGATCTTATATAAAAGAATTTGTGCATACATTTATTATCCTCTTCATCTCTGGGTTTCTCATATTCATAAGGTAAGAAAGTGCTCAAAGTACAGGACAAAATATAAAGAGAAAAAATCTGTAATATCTCAAATGTACCTTCCATATAATTGATATATTGCAACTCCCAGTGTAACTTGGGATGGCTGCCACATATATCTTCTATGTACCTTATACCTTGTACTCTGTCACAACTCCCAATCTTTTGCTGGGTTGTCATGTGTTAGGATATCAAGAATGTGAGACACCACATCCTTGTACAAACAAACAAGAATACATGAAAAAAAAATTAATATTCCCTTAGCCTGAACTTACAAGTGAGAAAAGACAAACATACAGAGGTACAAGAATGTAAAGAAAAAAAAAAGACAAAGAATGGAAATGGTACTTCCTATGAAATGAGTGTTGTTGAGGTTAAGCTGTGATGACCACCAGGCACAGCTGCAGTCTCACTTTAGCCAAACAACCATCAGTAGCAGAGTGGGTAATGATCAAGAGATTAATTTTAAACCCCATCTCCCAGAAAGCTCTGAGTTATATATTAAGTATGCATGTATTACTTATTCCATATGAGACTGTATAAGTCTCCACTGTTGTTACTGTTCATTCTATCTATTGATCACAACCTGAACTTCTATCAGATGTAATTTATTTTTACTAACATATATTGATAGAGCTAACTTCATTACTTGATGCATTAGTTAAAATTTATTCCACACAGAATGAGTTTTCTAGTTAATTGAGATAGACTAAGAAAAATTTACCTTACTGCAGAGGGAAGCATACACTACTAAACATATGAGACTGACATTACTGGCATAGTGGAGAAGCAATAGGGTAATTAGTATTATTGAGATCTATTTTTAAATAACGGCATAAAAGAATAGTAATATATACATAACCCATATACATATGTATGTATGTATGCATGTACGTATGTACACTCAGTGGCCACTTTATATCCACTTCAATCAAGTCATTATTATCGGCCTCAGTAACGTCAACAGCACCACAGGCTCCCGATACAAATGAGCCAGATTCAGATAACTGATTATCTAATGGAAAAGACAACATTTAATTCATGGTGTAAATTTATGATTATGGAAAATTTAATAGCTCAAGATGACAAAAACATTAGACCTGAGAAAAGTCATTTTTAGAGTGAATGTGACACTGAAAACACCACACCAAGAAGGGCAGGAGGTAGAACTCCAGTGACAAACTGTAGTGCCAGAACATCAGATAACAAGATCAACAGTTGTACATCATGGTCATTGAGAAGAATCCCAATAGTCAGAAGTGCCAAGATAAGTTCATCCAGTAGAATCCCAGTAGGGAAGGTCAATTCTACCAAAAGAAAAATCAAACACTTCCCTGTTAGTGAAAAGTGACAGTAAAATCAAAACATCAAAAAGAAGTTCAGTAGAAGAGAAAAGTGCTAGAGAAACCAGTGAGTCCTACAGAACTTCTCTGCTGGAAAAGAAATCAATTAAGACAAGACTTTATAGAAACTCCAGTACAAGAAAACTGCAACATGAAGAACAGATTATCTAGTGAATCTCCAGTGCAAAAACAGTCTCGTATCAGGGAGATTCAATCATCTGACAAGACCTCAGAACAAAACACAAGTGAAGCAGTGACACCTAACATATCTCAGGTATCAAAAATGTATGTTAGTAAGTCATTAACTCCAAAGTCACAAAGTTATAAAGGAAACCCAGTCTTCTTTGAAGAAAAAGTCATGAATAAAAATCATGAGACTGAGGCATCTGACACATCAATAAATAAAAAATGTCTCACAAAGAGAGAGAAATGCAGTTCCCTGGCTGTAATGAAAGAATCAATTTACTGACAAAGGAAAAGAATCTTGTGAGACTGACAACAATTTGAAATTAAAGCAAAAAGAGGAGTTGATGTAGAAAGAGAGATTCATACTTAAGGCAAAGCATCCACCTCCTTGACTTCAGATGCACGTCATTAAAAAAGACATCCAGAGATAATAAAAGCAAAGAAAAGAAGATCCACTACTGGTCATGGAAGAAAGTCTGGCTAAAGTATGGGAGGAAGACAGTCTCTGTTTGCTGCTTTTCCTACAATAAGTTTGGGAGATCAAATATGCAGAATTGACCAAGACCTTCCAAGGGCCTCAAAAGTGAGCTGTCTTACTGACATAAACATTAGAGAAGGACTGCAAAGACTTGAAGACTGTTTGCCTGAAAATTAATATGTATCAGATTTGAAGATGGATTTACTGAGGAAATCCGAGAGCACAGCCGGTGAACTCGCGTATCAAACTACTGGCTAGCCATTTGTTGCAGAGGCTTTTTTGCTTAAGTGCTCATTTAAGGAGGATGTGAAGGGAAGAGAATTCCCTGAAGCTCAGTCAGGCAAGTGAAAACTGATGATGAGCAAATCAGCCAGGTGACTGATGCACAACGTTGCATTCTTGCCAGTACTCCAAATTATCAAGAGTACTTATAGGAGATACAGATGGTGTGTGGAAATGCAATGTCGATGTTTCGAGAAGTGAAACTTACTACAAATGTTGCTTCCAGTATGATCACAGCATACAAGCTCAGTGCCACAAACTGTTGAGATGCTGTCGAGAAGCTAAGCTTTCGACATTTGCAGAAACAGCCAACTAAGTACATGTTGACTTCAATGCTAGAGATGAATCATGCATGTGTTAGTACTAACAATGAAGTCTGAACCTGCAACATGCTCCCCTGAGTCATTTAGAACAGCCATAATTTAATAAGAGTAACATTTCAGCTTTTTAAGGTTTGAAATGCTTCTGAAAATGATACAAAAAAAACTACAATGAATTTTGAAGCTTGTTGGCCATGGCAGATCATCTTTCTTCTTTTAACAAACTGGCCATATCCCACTGAGGCAAGGTGGCCCAAAAGGAAAAATGCAAGTTTCTCCTTTTAAATTTAGTAATATATACAGGACAAGGGGTTACTAGCCCCTTGCTCTCAGCATTTTAGTCACCTCTTGCAACACACATGGTTCATGGAGGAAGAATTCTGTTCCACTTCCCCATGGAGGAAATAAACAAGAAGAACCAATAAGGAAATAAAAGAAAACCCAAAGGGGTGTGTGTGTATATATATGCTTGTCTATGCATGTGAAGTGTGACTTAAGTGTAAGCAGAAGAAGCAAGATGTACCTGAAACCCTGCATGTTTATGAGACAGAAAAAAGACAACAGCAATCCTACCATCATGTAAAACAATTACAGGTTTCCATTACACACACACTTGGTAAGATGGTAGTACATGTACCTCTGTAGGCAGTTGCTGTCTACCAGTCTACTACCTAGATCTCAATAGGTTGTGAAAACATGCAATTATATTAAGTTTTATAACCTGCATCACTGTAGACAACAAGAGCATTTCACCCCTCTATGGAAGATGTGTTCATTTAATATCACACACCTGCAAGCCCCTCCCAAGAATCTCATTACTAGTAATCCCTTCCTTAGATCACTTGTTAAAGTAACTGATCAAGAAGAAATTTCTTGCCTAGCTGGTAGTAATAAGTTATTACAAGTTATATACACTGATGGCTTTAAGCAGGAGTCTTCAGGCACGGCTGCATCTGCTCTTGTTGCCACCTCCCTAGTTAAGAACGGTAACAGCTTTGTTGAGTTAGGCATAAGAACAAACAACTGGGCATCTAAACTGCAAACTGAATTGTTTGCCATCCTAATGGCACTAAAGCTTACCTATGACACTGAACTTAACTCTATCATCATTACTGATTCTATGTCATCACTGAAGGCTCTTGACTCATATAATGACTAACAACATGCTCACTGGAGAAGCCAGGTATAGATACACAAAAATTCAGGAAAAAGGAATTAATGTACAATTGCTATGGATCTCATCACATGATGGATTACTCCTTCATGATAAAACTGATATGTTAGCCAAGAAGAGCACCTTGAAGGAGAATGCAGAATATAACTTTGGTATATCTGTGTCTAGCATTAGGAATAATATTAGGAGGGATGTAAATAATGAAAATGAATGTTATAGGAATGCACTTAGAAGACTGAGTAGATCTATAATCCACTATAATAACATGAATGTAGATAAGTACTACATTTATGGAGCAACTTGCAATGTGAACAGACTGACTGATGTAGTGGCCAGGCTTAGGCTTGGTTACAAGTGCTTCTGGCAATTTGGGAGACACACAGATGATGATCAAACCAAATGCAAATTATGTGGCCAGCCATATAGTCACTATCTTGAACACTATGTGCTTAATTGTCCACTTATTGAGAATACAGAGATAAATAGTTAATAACCTATGTGACATGTCAGGATATCTTATTAATAAAAATAAGATACCAGATATACTAAGCAAATTTCCTAAATTTGCTTGTAACAGATAAGTGAACTGTAGACATAAATCCAAATGTACTCCTGTTAACCCTTTTGGGGCCTAGTTCCTAGGCAATTTGTGTATCCATATGCTCTTGCACTACTGTCCACAGGATGGACATAGGGGGCACAATAAACTAGCCACTTCGGTGGCAAAATCTAATCTATCATTAATACGAATATCTAATCAGCCAATCATGTAGCAATACCTTAATGCCTAAAAGCAAGCAGACATGGTCAAGAGGTTCAGCTGTGTTCAGACCAAACATCAGAAATGTGATCTAAGTGACTGTGATGGCAGAGTGGTTGTTGGTGCCAGACGGGGTGGTTTGAACATCTCAAAAACTCCTGATCTGTGATTTTCACGTAAAAAACACAAAATATCCAGTGAGCAGCAGTTCTGTGGGCAAAAATGCCCTGATAATGAAAGATGTCAGAGGAGAATGGCCAACATGGTTCAAGCTGACAGTAACCCAAATAATCACACATTACAACAGCAATATGCAGAAAAGCATCTTTGAACACACAACATGTTGAACCTTGAAGTGAGTGGGCCACTGCAGCAGAAGATCATACCAGGTTCTACTCCTGTCATCTAAGAACAGGACACTTAGCCTAGAGTGGACACAGGTTCACCAAAACTGGACAATATAAGATTAGGAAAATGTCACCTGGTCTGACAAATCACAATTTCTGCTGCAACATGCAGATGGTAGGATTAGAATCTGGCCTAACCTTCAGTATGTGAGAAATCTGTAGCAACTCCGTGATGCTATCATGCTGTTCTAGGGACAAAGCGGGGCTCTAACTAGTAGTAGAAGGGTAGAAGGGTATACTTAATGAAGTGGTCACTGAGAGTATATACACATATGTATGTATATATGTGTACATACGTATACAAGTATATACATAAGAATACATGTACATACATGTGTATGTATGTGCATACGTATGTGTGTCTATAATTTTATTAATGTTATTTATTTATTTATATCACAATTTTGTTTAATTTCTTTTGCAATATTACAAATTTCCCCTTATTTTTATACTTCGAAAAAGTAAAGCAAGATATGTATTAGATCTGGTATATAAAGCAATGTCATGAGACTATATCAACCGATTTTCTGAGAAAGACAGCAAGAGGAATGTAACCTGAACCAGTATTAATAAAAACTAGAAACACAACTTGCAATTTAATTATCATACAGGTTTAGAGCACTGCTATTTACAATTCTTGTCTCTTCTCTGTCATTAGTGCTCTCCTACTTCTGATGAATCAAAGATTAAAACAGACCCAAAGCAAACTTTGGTGATGTAAATCAATGTTATGTATAAAATGTTGAAAAATAAAAATGCTGTGAATTTTTAACAATCATAAAATACAGCACTCACAGAAATAATGCACAATTACTAAAACAATGAATTAAGTAAAGATAGTGTCATGGAACCTTGCAAATATTGCATTCACTGTTTCATTAAAAAATATTGAGCTTAAAAGTTCATTGCATAAATGACACAGCCTTCTTTAACCCCTAATTCCACTTTCTTCTTAAAAATTTTAAAAAGAGGATAAATTTAATCCAAAATATTATATGAAATCTTCCAAGACCTACAACTCTCAATCTAAAAGAAAATATTTTAGGTAAAGAAAGATTTGCACAACACAAGAATCAGGATGAAGAAATCTGTTAAGTATTGATGATTACCAGTAAGTCTAAATATATTCCTCGAGAGTTTGTAATGAAGTCATTCCTCATATATAAAGCTAGGTTGATTCTGCACAAAAAATCTTAACAGCTTTCTCCAATGTCATGCAAATAAAATTATGTCCAAAAGAACAGAGTAAGATTATAAACATCTAAATTCTATACTCTTAAAAGTGCAATTAATAATGAGAAACAATGAGCTAAATAAGATTTATCAACAGATTTGAGCATAATCATTACAGCCCTAAACTTACACTGTATATTAGTCATGCAACAATGAGATGAATGGTACTACATGACATACACTTTGTTTTTTTTTTAATTTACCTGTACGTCTTTTCCATGAAAAGCATTAACGAGGATGAGGTTTATCTGCTTGGCTATCTGTTGAATTTGAAAAGGCTCTTCTTTGTGCCTTTGGATTCAGGTGGCTATTTAAAAAGTAATAAAATTTGAACATTAATATCAGAAATTGATAACTAAATTTTCTGTAAATTAATTACCAATATCTTACACAGAAAAACAAACTCACTTGAACATTAATGAGTAAACATATACTGTACTATGCTCCATATACAGGCACACTAATGGACATTTAGCTATTCAAACAATAATAGCTGGCTCCCTCTTTTCAGTTCAAACAATAAATAATTATCTACATATATTTAAATACCTATCCAAGTCCTTAACATTTTTTTTCTGAGAATTTCCTGTCCTTCAGGGGTGCCATTATGGAAAATCATCCAGTTACAGTGGACCCCCGGTTAACGAACTTTTTTCATTCCAGTAGTATGTTCAGGTGCCAGTACTGACCAAATTTTTTCCCATAAGGAATATTGTGAAGTAGATTAGTCCATTTCAGACCCCCAAACATACACGTACAAACGCACTTACATAATTGGTCACATTTGGAGGTGATCGTTAAGTGGGGGTCCACTGTATTTTAATAACTCTGTATCTGGTCAAAAATTAGACATACTTTTGATATACCTTTGAAGAGTTTCGAGAGTTTATCTACTCTCCGAGCCTGGCCATAGGCCAGGCTTGTCTGGTGCTTGCCTGGTCAACCAGGCTGTTGCTGCTGGAGGCCTGCTGCCCCACATATCTATCATAGCCTGGTTGATCTGGCACCTGGTGAAGATACCTGTCCAGTTTTCTCTTGAAGGCTTCTACACTTGTTCCAGCCGTGTTTCTGAAATCTTCTGGTAAGATGTTGAATAGTCTGGGACCCCAGATGTTGATAGTATTCCCTTATTGTCCCCACTGCACCCCTGCTCCTCATGGGTTTATTTTACACTTCCTCCCATATCTCTCACTCCAGTATGTTGTTATGGCAGTGTGGAGGTTTGGGACCAGGTCCTCGAGTACTTTCCAGGTATATATTATCATGTATCTCTCTCCTCCACTCCAATGAGTATGTGTTCAAGACTTGAAAGCATTCCCAGTAGTTTAGGTGCTTTATTGGCTCAATGTGAGCCATAAACGATCTCTGTATTTGTTCCAGCTCTGATATTTCTTCTGCTTTGAACGGGGCTGTCAGCACTGAGCAATATTCTAAGTGAGGGAACACTAGTGATTTTGAAGTGTCACCATCAGCATTATTTCCCTTGTTTTGAAAGTTCTCAATACTCACCCCGTCATCTTCCTGGCTGTCATGATCTTTGTCTTGTTATGGTCTTTATGTGTTCCTTACGTTCTATTTGGTGACCCTCTTGAGTTTTGTATATAGTGTTCCTTTTGAGTACTTCATTCTTTCCATACCTAAGCAGCTGGAACTTATCACCAGTGAATGTCAAGTTGTTCTCCACTGCTCACTGGAAAACCCTGTTTATGTCTTCCTGTGTTTTTTCAGTGTCCTCTACTGTAGTGACTTTCATGCTTATTTTAGTGTCATCTGCAAATGATACCACAATGTGCCGGGTGTTTTTATCTCTGTCTGCAATGATGATGAGGAACAGCTGAGGTGCCAGGACAGTACCTTGGAGCACTGAGCTTCTGATTTCACTGATGCTGGATCTTGCCCTGTTCACTACTACTTTTTGTGTTGTGTGTTAGGAACCCGAAAATCCATCTGCCTACCTTCCTGGTAATGCCCATGGCCTTCATTTTGTGTGCTATCACTCCACGATTGCATTTGTCAAATACCTCCCCTCCACTACAGGTTTATACACTCTCAAAGTCATTCTGTTTCATTCCATTCTCTCTACATGTCCGAACCACCTCAACAACCCTTCCTCAGCCCTCTAGACAACAGTTTTGGCAATCTCACACCCCCTCCTAACTTCCAAACTATGAATCCTCTGCATTATATTTACACCACACATTGCCCTCAGACATGACATCTCCACTGCCTCCAGCCTTCTCCTCACTGCAACATTCATCACTCATGCTTCACACCCATATAAGAGTGTTGGTAGAACTATACTCTCATACATTTCCCTCTTTCCTTCCAAGGACAAAGTTCTTTGTCTCCACAGACTCCTAAGTGCATCGCTCACCCTTTTCCACCTCATCAATTCTAAGATGCACCTCATCTTTCATAGACTCATCTGCTGACACGTCCACTCCCAAATACGTATCTGAATACATTCACGTCCTCCATACTCTCTCCCTCCAATCTGATATTCAATCTTTCATCACCTAATCTTTTTGTTATCCTCATAACCTTACTCTTTCCTGTATTCACTTTTAATTTTCTTCTTTTAGATTTTTTTTTTTCAACAAGTCAGCTGTCTCCCACCGAGGCAGGGTGACCCAAAAAAAGAAAGAAAATCCCCAAAAAGAAAATACTTTCATCATCATTCAACACTTTCACCTCACTCACACATAATTACTGTTTTTGCGGAGGTGCTCAGAACACAACAGTTTAGAAGCATATATGTATAAAGATACACAACATATCCCTCCAAACTGCTAATATCCCAAAACCCCTCATTTAGAGTGCAGGCATTCTACTTCCCATTTCCAGGACTCAAGTTCGACTATATAAAAATAACCGGTTTCCCTGAATCCCTTCACGAAATATTACCCTGCTCACACTCAAACAGATCGTCAGGTCCCAAATACCATTCGTCTCCATTCACTCCTATCGAACACGCTCATGCACGCCTGCTGGAAGTCCAAGCCCCTCGCCCATAAAACCTCCCTTACTCCTTCCTTCCAACCTTTTCGAGGATGACCCCTACCCCTTCTTCCTTCTCCTACGGATTTAAATGCTCTCCATGTCATTCTACTATGATCCATTCTCTCTAAATGACCAAACCACCTCAACAACCCCTCTTCAGCCCTCTCACTAATACTTTTATTAACTCCACACCTTCTCCTAATTTCCACACTCCAAATTTTCTGCATAATATTTACACCACACATTGCCCTTAGACAGGACGTCTCCACTGCCTCCAACCGTCTCCTCGCTGCTGCTTTCAAAACCAAGCTTCACACCCATATAAGAGTGTTGGTACTACTATACTTTCATACATTCCCTTCTTTGCCTCCATAGATAACGTTTTTTGACTCCACATATACCTCAACACACCACTCACCTTTTTTCCCTCATCAATTCTATGATTAACCTCATCCTTCATAAATCCATCCACCGACACATCAACTCCCAAGTATCTGAAAACATTCACTTCTTCCATACTCCTCCTTCCCAATTTGATATCCAATTTTTCTTTATCTAAATCATTTGATACCCTCATCACCTTACTCTTTTCTATGTTCACTTTCAACTTTCTACCTTTACACACACACTCCCAAACTCATCCACTAACCTTTGCAATTTTTCTTTAGAATCTCCCATAAGCACAGTATCATCAGCAAAAAGTAACTGTCAATTCCCATTCTGTATTTGATTCCCCATAATTTAATCCCACCCCTCTCCCAAACACCCTATCATTTACTTCTTTTACAACCCCATCTATAAATATATTAAACAACCATGGTGACATTACACATCCCTGTCTAAGACCTACTTTTACCGGGAAGTAGTCTCCCTCTCTTCTACACACCCTAACCTGAGCCTCACTATCCTCATAAAAACTCTTTACAGCATTTAATAACTTACCACCTATTCCATATACTTCCAACATCTGCCACATTGCTCCCCTATCCACTCTATCATATGCCTTTTCTAAATCCATAAATGCAATAAAAACTTCCCTACCTTTATCTAAATACTGTTCACATACATGCTTCAATGTAAACACTTGATCTACACATCCCCTACCCACTCTGAAACCTCCTTGCTCATCCGCAATCCTACATTCTGTCTTACTTCTAATTCTTTCAATTATAACCCTACTGTACACTTTCCTGGTATACTCAGTAAACTTATTCCTCTATAATTTTTACAATCTCTTTTGTCCCCCTTCCCTTTATATAAAGGGACTATACATGCTCTCCGCCAATCCCTAGGTATCTTCCCCTCTTTCATACATTTATTAAACAAAAGTACCAACCACTCCAACACTATATCCCCCCTGCTTTTAACATTTCTGTCATGATCCCATCAGTTCCAGCTGCTTTACCTCCTTTCATTCTACGTAATGCCTCGCGTACCTCCCCCACACTTACATTCTGCTCTTCTTCACTCCTAAAAGATGGTATACCTCCCTGGCCAGTGCATGAAATTACTGCCTCCCTTTCTTCCTCAAAATATTCTCGCCATCTACCTAATACCTCCATCTCCCCATCTACTAACTCCCCTACTCTGTTTTTAACTGACAAATCCATACGTTCCCTAGGCTTTCTTAACTTGTTTAACTCACTCCAAAATTTTTTCTTATTTTCATTAAAATTTCTTGACAGCGCCTCTCCCACTCTATCATCTGCTTTCCTTTTGCACCTTCTCACCACTCTCTTCACCTTTCTTTTACTCTCCATATACTCTGCTCTTCTTGTAACACTTCTGCTTTGTAAAAACCTCTCACAAGCTAACTTTTTCTCTTTTATCACACCCTTTACTTCATCATTCCACCAATCACTCCTCTTTCCTCCTGCCCCCACCCTCCTATAACCACAAACTTCTGCCCCACATTCTAATACTGCATTTTTAAAACTATTCCAACCCTCTTCAACCCCCCCACTACACATCTTTGCACTAGCCCACCTTTCTGCCAATAGTTGCTTATATCTCACCCGAACTTCCTCCTCCCTTAGTTTAAACACTTTCACCTCTCTCTTACTTGTTGTTGCCACCTTCCGCTTGTCCCATCTACCTCTTACTCTAACTGTAGCTACAACTAAATAATGGTCCGATATATCAGTTGCCCCTCTATAAACATGTACATCCTGGAGCCTACCCATCAACCTTTTATCCACCAGTATATAATCTAACAAACTACTTTCATTACGTCCTACATCATAACTTGTATATTTATCCTCTTTTTCATAAAATATGCATTACTTATTACCTAATCTCTTTCTAGACATAGCTCAATTAAAGGCTCCCCATTTATATTTACCCCTGGCACCCCAAACTTAACTACTACTCCCTCCATAACATTTTTACCCACTTTAGCATTGAAATCCCCAACCACAAGTACTCTCACACTTGGTTCAAAACTCCCCACGCATTCACTCAACATTTCCCAAAATCTCTCTCTCTCGTCTACACTTCTCTCTTCTCCAGGTGCATATATGCTTACTATAACCCACTTTTCACATCCAACCTTTATTTTACTCCACATAATCCTTGAATTAATACATTTATAGTCCCTCTTTTCCTGCCATAGCTTATCCTTCAATATTATTGCTACTCTTCTTTAGCTCTAACTCTATTTGAAACCCCTGACCTAATCCCATTTATTCCTCTCCAATGAAACTCTCCTCACCCCCTTCAGCTTTGTTTCACTTAAAGGCAGGACATCCAGCTTCTTCTCATTCATAACATCATCCATCCATCATTCATCCACCAATCTCTGCAACTTCTCTTCAGAATCTCCCAAGAGCACAGTGTCATCAGCAAAAAGCAACTGTGACAACTCCCACTTTTTGTTTGATTCTTTATCTTTTAACTCCACAACTCTTGCCAAGACCCTCCCATTCACTTCTCTTACAACCCCATCTATAAATATAATGAACAACTACGGTGACATCACACATCCTTATCCAAGGCCTACTTTTACTGGGAAATAATCTCCCTCTTTCCTACATACTCTAACCTAAGCCTCACTATCCTCATAAAAACTCTTCACTACTTTCAGTAACCTACCTCCTATACAATACATCTGCAACATCTGCCACATTGCTCCCTTATCCACCCTGTCATATGCCTTTTCCAAATCCATAAATGCCACAAAAACCTCTTTAGCCTTATCTAAATACCGTTCACCTATATGTTTCACTTGGTCTACACCCCCCCCACCTTTCCTAAAGCCTCCTTGTTCATCTGCTATCCTACTCTTTGTCTTACCCTTAATTCTCTCAATAATAACTCTACCATACACTTTACCAGGTATACTCAACAGACTTATCCCCCTATAATTTTTGCACTCTTTTGTCCCCTTTGCCTTTATACAAAGGAACTATGCACACTCTCTGCCAATCCCTAGGTACTTTACCCTCTTCCATACATTTATTAAATAATAGCACCAACCACTCCAAAACTATATCCCCACCTGCTTTTAACATTTCTTTCTTTATCCCATCAATCCCGGCTGCCTTACCCCCTTTCATTTTACCTACTGCCTCACGAACTTCCCCCACACTCACAACTGGCTCTTCCTCACTCCTACAAGATGTTATTCCTCCTTGCCCTATACACGAAATCCTCAAAATATTCCCTCCATCGTTCTGATACCTCTAACTCTCCATTTAATAACTCTCCTCTCCTATTTTTAACTGACAAATCCATTTGTTCCCTAGGCTTCCTCAGCTTGTTAATCTCACTCTAAAACTTTTTCTTATTTTCAACAAAATTTGTTGATAACATTTCACCCACTCTCTCATTTGCTCTCTTTTTACATTGCTTCACCACTCTCTTAACCTCTCCTTTTCTCTCCATATACTCTTCCCTCTTTGTATCACTTCTACTTTGCAAAAACCTCTCATATGCTAACTTTTTCTCCAGACTACTTTCTTTACATCATCATTCCACCAATCGCTCCTCTTCCCTCCTGCACCCACTTTCCTGTAACCACAAACTTCTGCTGAACACTCCAACACTACATTTTTAAACCTACCCCATACATCTTCAACCCTATTGCCTATACTCTCACTAGCCCATCTATCCTCCAATAGTTGTTTATATCTTACCCTAACTGCTGCCTCTTTTAGTTTATAAACCTTCACCTCTCTCTTCCCTGATGCTTCTATTTTCCTTGTATCCCATCTACCTTTTACTCTAACTGTAGCTACAACTAAAAAGTGATCTGATATATCTGTGGCCCCTCTATAAACATGTACATCCTGAAGTCTATTCAATAATCTTTTATATACCAATTCATAGTCCAACAAACTACTGTCATTACGCCCTACCTCATATCTTGTATACTTATTTATCCTCTTTTTCTTAAAATATGTATTACCTATAACTAAACCCCCTTTCTATACAAAGTTCAATCAAAGGGCTCCCATTATCATTTACACCTGGCACCCCAAACTTACCTACCACACTCTCTCTAAATGTTTTTCCTACTTTAGCATTTAGGTCCCCTACCACAATTACTCTCTCAATTAGTTCAAAGGTTCCTATACATTCGCTTAACATCTCCCAAAATCTCTCTTTCTTCTCTACACTCCTTGTCTCCTGGTGCACACATGCTTATTATGACCCACTTTTTGCATCGAACCCTTATTTTAATCCACATAATCCTTGAATTTACACATTTATATTCCCTCTTCTCCTTCCATAACTGATCCTTCAGCATTATTGCTACCCCTCTGAATCTTTTATAAACAAACATTGGTCTACTGAGGACATGCTGCAAATTTTCCAATGAACATAGCCTAACACTAACAACATACTACTTGATTCCTAAACACAACTGGATGCTGTACAACCAAAAACTTTGGCTCTCGTGTTAGTATGAGAAATATAAGTTCTTGAAATCACTACACAAAGACTACTCAGATTAATAAAGTACAATACAGTATTTGAAAAAATATTAAGGCTACCTCAAACTCACCATTAACTTGCTACCAAGAAGAAGACGGGCTTTCTCTTCCTCGTTTGGCATGGACGTATCATCTGCTCGGAAGTGGGCCAGATTCAATTTATGCTTGATGGCCTACGAAACAAATAATTCAATAATTATTTATTTTTAATGCCTTTGTTTTGAATTCTAAATTAATCTTTTTAATTTAAGTAGTACTATGGTCATATCTTTTTTTTAATCTTTTTAACATACTAGTTGTCTGGAAGGATGACCCAATAGAAGGGAAAAACATTCACCATCATTAATTCAACAGCTGTTCTGCCAGAAGGCCAAAGACATCAGAATTCAAATTACCCTGAGATTTGTAAAATAAAAATATTTTAGAAGAACACACCAAAATAATATCTGCTGAAAAGTGGTTATAAAACTGCCGGACTTGAGTCCTGGCGGTGGGAAGTACAATGCCTGCAGTTTAAAGGAGGGGTTTGGGATATTGGCTGTTGCATCTAAGTGCCTCTGCAAAGACAATGATTATGTGTGAATGATGGTGAAAGTATTTCATTCGTTTTTGGGTCATCCTGCCTCGGTGGGAGATGGTCAATGTGTTAAAAAAAAAAAATTGATACATGTCACTGTTAGTGATGGAAATGTTTAAAGTCATTTATTAAGTAAAGGAAATGATGGAGGGAGGGGGGTAAAAGAGATTGTGTGTGCAAGGGGCGTGGACATGAAGCAAGTATGTGTGAGTGTGTTAGATAGGAGTGAATGGAGCCGAATGGTTTTCGAGACTTGACGAGCTGTTAGTGTGAGAGCAGGGTAATATTTTGTGAAGGAATTCAGGGAAACCAGTTATCAAGGAGTCCTGGAGGTGGGATGTACAATGCTTGCTCTTTAAAGAAGGGGTTTGGGATATTTACTACTTGGAGTGACATCAAAACTGTCATATCTGCATGCCTCTGCAAAGATAGACAGTGATTATGTGTGAATGATGGTGAAAGTGTTTCTTTTCTGGGTTACCCTGCCTCGGTAGGAAACAGCCGGCGTGTAAAAAAAAAAAAACATGCAGCACAAATAAAGTTGTCAAGACTAAAATTATATTTTGTTTGTGCATTTTTTACTGTAGGTCTGCTGCAGTGCTCCTTTATGTTCTTGTATGTGTGAGGTATGGATTATGTTGTCAATTTAAAATTCATAAACAGTAAGTATTGTTAGTAAAGGTTTATCATAATCTCTGCTCAGGATGAACTGTATGCAAGGACCGAGAAGACTTATTCCTACTGATGTACAGTATGTATGCATTTTTATCTTTTTAAACAACTGGATTTACAGGTTGAGCTACTATCCTACTTCAGTTCATTTCAAAGCCCAGCCCTACCTTTGGTATACTTCCACCTCCAGGATGAAAGGCAGAGCCCATGACAGTCAGCTAACATCAAAGTACCCATTTTCTGCTATGTTAACAGAAGCAAAAGGTGTAAGGAGGCTTTTTCTCTACAACTCCTCACTTGGGACTCGGCCTAGTCCCTTCACTTGTGAGTCATTACTGAGCATCAACCAGCCTCTTATGGTTATGTGGGGCAATGGACTACTAACAGTAACAGCCTGATTGAATAAATAATGAAGACTGGCCAAAGGCCAAGATGCAATGGTAGGAAAAAATCCTTGAAACCAGTTACACTCAGAGGAAGTACACAGGGCTGGTTACTTATAAATGAAACAAAAAAGGGAATAAGGTGAATGTGAATGATTAGGCATGCACAGATAGTCTTGGCATGTTGTCATCAAGCATAATAGAATAGTATATTCACTGTTTATATCAATTTGGTTAAGTTTTATGCTATTCTAGTGCAGTTTTTATGAATCTTTTTCCTGTTTTTATTTTTTGTCATGTTCAATACAAGTACTTTTACTGTTGTTTATATCACAAGTGAATTTGTATTCAGAAATTCTTTTCTCCAAATTTCTATATTTCTTATTTCTAAACTTTCTGCAACTTCTATAAAGTACAATGAAGACTCCAATGCAGCTGCTACATTCATGTTTTCTCTATACATGATAATGTTATCGATTATCTCAGGTGTATTGTGTACAACTTTATGTTGGCCTTATTTTATGTTAACCATCTGAGCAGGGTAACATTTATGAAAAGATTAAAGAAAAGCAGTTAGCTGGACTCAAGTCTTAGATGTGGAAAGTAGAGGTCTAAGCTCTGAAGGAGGGATGGGGATGGTGTAGTTTAGAGGGTCATTTATATCATGATATCCATGCACTTCTGAAAAAGACATCTATTGAGTAAGTGAGTGATGGTGATTATATTTCCTTTTATTTTATTTACCGCTTTTTATGTAGATGGGTGATGTTAAAAGATAAGCAGATATCATAATTAAAATACAAATGAAACAACTGCAGTACAAACCATATCCATAATTCATCCCAAATCTTAAACTACAAGAATCACCACATTTTGACAAATGGAAAAAGCTTGCCTCTATTTACTCATGACTTCAAACTTCATCACTATTTCAAGGTGACCCAGAACATGGGTAGCATGCAAAATACTGTATGACAAATAATATGCAATGTGACCTGTGATAACAAAGCTGATTTGGAGTCCTGCTTCATGGCCATGAGGAAGTCCAACCAGGTCCATGTAACATTGTGATATTCTAGAGTTGGAACAACTAATCTAAAATTAGATACATCTTCCAAGTTCTTTTCTTTCTTGCCCTTATAGCTCACACGTACTGGTAGTTCTGGAATCTTGATGTAAACAAATAGTTTGTTCTGCTCAGCCCGTTGCTGTGGATAAAGTAAAAAAATTAGCATAGAAAAATTTAAAAAATTGAACTGAAAATTATACGTATAATTTTTTTATCTATACATTTTTCCAACAAGAAAATTAAGAGTTCCTTAATTATGCCAATTGCTCAGCTTTTTTTTTTTTCAACATGCTAGCCACTTCCCACCGAGGGCAGGGTGATCCAAAAAAGAAACTCTTTCACCATCACTCACACATAATCACTGTCTTTACAGAAGCTCCCAGATGTGACAGTTTAGATGTCACTCTAAACAGTCAATAACACAAACCCCGCCTTTAAAGTGTAGGTACTGCACTTCCCACCTCCAGGACTCAAGTCTGGCTAAAGAGTTTTCCTGAATCCCTTCATAAAATATTACCCTGCTCATACTCCAACAGCTCATCAGCTCCCTAAAACCATTCATTTCCATTCACTCCTAACACACTCACATATGCTTGCTGCATGTCCAGGCTCCTTGCACACAAAACCTCTTTTTACGCCTCCCTTCATCCTTTCCTAGGACGACCCCTACCCTCTCCTCCCTCCCACTACGGATTGATACACCCTCCTCTCCATCATCTCTAAATGACGAAACCACCTCAACAGCCCATCTTCAGCTCTCTGAATAATACTTTTAGTAACTCCACACTTCCTCCTAATTTCCACACTACAAATTCTCTTCATAATATTTACACCAGGCCCGGTGGCCTAGTGGCTAAAGCTCCCTCTTCACACATGGAGGGCCCGGGTTCGATTCCCGGCGGGTGGAAACATTTCGACACGTTTCCTTACACCTGTTGTCCTGATCACCTAGCAGCAAATAGGTACCTGGGTGTTAGTCGACTGGTGTGGGTCGCATCCTGGGGGACAAGATTAAGGACCCCAATGGAAATAAGTTAGACAGTCCTCGATGACGCACTGACTTTCTTGGGTTATCCTGGGTGGCTAACCCTCCGGGGTTAAAAATCCGAACGAAATCTTATCTTATCTTATCACTGCCCTTAGACAACATCTCCACTGCCTCCAGCCTCCTCCTCACTGCAGTATTCACATCCCATGCTTCACACAGATATAAGAGTGTTGGTACCACTATACTCTCTTACATTTCTTTGTATCCCTGGATAATGTTTTTTGTCTCCACAGATATCTCAATGCACCACTCACTTTTTTTCCTTTATCAATTCTATGGTTAACTTTGTCCTTCATAAACCCATCTGCTGACAAATCTACTTTCAAATATCTGATTGGCGGAGAGCATGTATAGTCCCTTTATATAAAGGGAAAGGGGACAAAAGAGACTGTAAAAATTATAGAGGAATAAGCTTACTGAGTATACCAGGAAAAGTGTACGGTAGGGTTATAATTGAAAGAATTGGAGGTAAGACAGAATGTAGGATTGCGGATGAGCAAGGAGGTTTCAGAGTGGGTAGGGGATGTGTAGATCAAGTGTTTACATTGAAGCATATATGTGAACAGTATTTAGATAAGGTAGGGAAGTTTTTATTTATTTTGGATT